CCTGCCATTGGGGGGGGGTGCAGGGGGGGGTAGGACCTCAGTGGCCTCCAGCTTCCCCCGCAGCCCTGTCTTTTCCAGCAGGAAGCGCTCTGGGGCGGCCACCTGCGGCACAGGGAAGCTTCCAGTGGCCCCTGCACCTTCCAGAAGCTCTGAAAAAATGGGGCCCTCCTTGGAGTTAAACTGCTTTCAAGGCCGCCTTCAGCAAGTGCCGGCACCGAAGGCTGAGGTCCGGGGCACCTCCCACCCCACCACGCGCCCCAGAGCCAGGGCTTAGGACAGAGAGGTGGGTGGCACGCACTCACCAGTGTGGATAATGATATGCTTGGACAGGTCCCCCACGTTCACGAAGGCCTTGCTGCACACGCTGCACTTGTGAGGACGGATGTTGTCATGGTGGCGGATGTGGTTGGCCAGCTGGCTAGACTGGACAAATCTGCAGAGCCAGGAGGAAAGGCTTACACGGAACCGCCCAGGGCCTGGGCCGGGGATGCTGGGCTGGGGCCCCCACGTCAGGGTCTAGATCCGAGAGGACGCCGGAACCTGCACCGGAGCAGTCTGCCCGGCTACCGACCGAGCCCTGGGCTTATTCTCTGACCCCCTCCACCCGTCGAGGGCCAGGACCCCACAGGGCGCCGGCCGGGGGCCGGAAGGGCAGGACCTCTTTCCGCAACGCTCGCAGACGTAAGGCTTCTCCCCGGTGTGCTGGCGCACGTGGGCGATGAGGGAGCTGGCCTGGGTGAAGGCTTTGCCGCACATCACGCACTGGCATGGCTTCTCACCTGGGGGCGGAGGCAGGGGACGGGAAGGTGTCGGCGCCTGCTCTCCTCCCTTGTGCCCGCACCCGGGCGCCGCCAGGCCGCTCACCCACCCGTGTGGATGCGGACGTGCCGCTGCAGGGCGCCGGGGTCAGCGAACTGCCGCTGGCAGTGGACGCACACGTAGGGCTTCTCACCACTGTGAATCCGAAGGTGCCGCTTCAGGTTCCCTGTGGCGAGACCGAGGGTGGGCGTGGCACGGGCGCCCGGGGCTGGGGGCGGGGCTGGGGGCGGGGCCGGGGCCAGCTGGGCCCTACCTGAGGTGGTGAACTGCTTCCCACACTCCCGGCACTTGAGGGGCCCGTCGGCGATGTGGATCTTCAGGTGGGCCTTCAGGTTCCCCACCTGCGCCCAGGCAGGGGGTCAGACGGCAGGGAACCACCGATTCTCGGTCCTCCCGGGGGCCTGTGCGGGGCTCCCCCTTTCCTCAAGGCCGGGGGAAACGGGAAAACCACCCCCCGCAGTTCTTCCTGGCCCGCGGCGGCCCCCCGAGCCTGCCTTCCCAGTTTGCTCGGCAGAGCAGTCAAGAGCTCCACCCTTGACGGCAGGACCACCTTCTGCTCAGCCACCACCACCTACTTCCCCGCTAGGCCCCCCGGGCCCCCGAGACGGAAGTCGCCGGAGCACAGGGGCCCGGGGCCGGCTCCCCCCACCTGGTTGAACTTCTTGTCGCAGTGAGGGCACTTGTGCTCCTTGTCGGTGTCGTGCGTCTCCAGGTGGCGCATCTTGGACGTGGGGTCGGAGAAAGAGCGGCCGCAGTAGTCGCACTGGTAGGGCTTCTCGCCGCTGTGCACCAGCTGGTGCCGCTTGAGGTTGCCCGACGTGGTGAAGAGCTTGCCGCAGTCCTCGCAGCGGTAGCGCGCCTCGCCCGAGTGCCGCTTCTTGTGCAG